CTCTGCCCTGACCCCCCCCCACTGCTCTGCTCCCCCCTGGGGCCTCCCCTGAATTCCCCAGAGAAAGACTCCACATTGTCCCCACTCTCCATCTACACTGTCAGTACTGACCCTTTGGTTTCTTCCCAGGAGGCATTTTAACAGTTCCCACAATGCCCTCATCCATGCTTGAGTCAAGGGTTTGGGGATGGGGAGTTTGTCTGAGGTGTGACCCAGGAGGCCCGGTCGGGTAGGGAAAGGTGGTTCTCCTAGGGGTGTGCCTCAGTGGGGCCCACAGCAGGTGAGCAAGCTGGGGTATTTATCTCTGGATCCTACCCCCACTGGTGGCAGGCACCCTGTGGGCAGAAAGAAAAGAGCCGAAGCCCTTGACAAGAATGAAGCCTCCTGAGCGGGTGGCCTCCGAGGTGGGCTGAGGGTGCAGGGTATAGAAGCGTCTGCTCCAGCATCATCATGGGCACAACCCTTGCTGAGGGTCCCCTGCCCCCAGGTTCCCAATCAGACCTCATCCCTCTGTGCCAGCTTCCGTCACAAGCAGCTGTCCTCACCTTACAGCAGGGCCAGCTGTCTTCAACCTTCTCCTGGTCCTGCAGTCCCCAGACTCCCATCCAGCTTTCCTCCTTCCTTTGCAGGTCCTGGAAGGAGCAGTCTGCACTGGCATCCACACTCCCACTCCCCATGAGGCCTTGGTCTCCTCGAGTCAGTCCTGCCCACTGGCCTGTTGAACTGCTTTGTTGTGCCGTCCAAAGGCTGTTGCTCCATCAGCAGCATCCCCCACAGGCAGGCAGTCACTTGAGGTGCCTGTGCTTCATGTCATCAAAAGATTTGCCTTCAAGTGGCCAAATGTGTGTGTTGGACTCCTGTCCCCCGAGAGAATGGGCTTTGTACATATTATCTGGTCCTCTGGCTACTTGTGAGGCATCTCCTTCTGGTGAAGAAGCCAAGACCTATGTGTTGTCCCTTGGGCTGGCCAAGGGCTGGTTGGGTACGTCTGGGGTGTGGGGACCACTGGTGTACCCCACCATAGTGCTCATCTCAGTGGAGGAGCGGGTTACCGAGCTTGTTCAGGGACTTCATCCATGGCCATGAGGATATTCTGGGCTGGTGAACACAGGAACAAAACAGGAAAGCAGAGCCCAGTCATTTGTTTTAAAAATGCAGACACAATCCTGGCCAGGATGGGTTATGTGTCGTCCCCAGGCATGGAAAGTTGCAGGTTCAATTCCCACTCAGGGCACGAACCCAGTTTTGGGCTAGATCCCTGGTAGGGGGCGTGCAGGAGGCAGCTGATCGATGTTCAACTCTCACATCGACGTTTCTCTCTCTCCCTCTCCATCACTGCCTCGCTAGAAAAATCAATTAAAAAATCTTTTAAAAAATGCAGACACATTTTCCTTCTGTGTCATCAAAATGTAAACTTTAAAAAATAAGGTTTACATGTCACACTGCAAGGCTCCATCTACAGAGCGCCTGGTCTACACCACCCTCCCCCACCCCCTGCCTCATGCGACACCGGAGTTCACCCGGGGAAGGAGGAAGCAAATGTTCCCCAGGAACTCTGGGCATCTTTAAACCCACCCGTGATGAGCACACGGGCCCAGATTGTTCCGACAAAACATGCGCTCCTCCCATTAACCCTGTCTAATAGGAACATTTCTTACTGGTTGCGTGATTGTCTGCTTTGGAGGCTCCCAATGGGAGGGTGTAGCACCATCTCCAGGGTGAGGGAAACTTCCAGAAGCCATCCTTGTATGGTACCAGCGGGTTGAGACCTTCTTAACACATTTCACTTGTGATCTTTTAAAGCTGTCAGACCAGAATGATTTTCAGTCACTTTGCTCTGGAGTGGATTTAAAATCATGTCCCAAAGGTGGTAGATTAAAAGATTAAAAAGGCAAAGTATTAATCTAGCCCATCGTCCTGTCTCCTTACCCGTAAGATACAGTATCGCTGTCATGCGGCCGTGGCAGGTCTTCAGTGAGGCATCAGCGGGCCAGGAGCTGGCTTCCCGGCGACGCCTGCTGCCCGCTGACGTTGGGACCCGACTGCTCCCTGGTGTGTCTGGACTTGACGGAGGAGGCTTGTCCAGCGACTGCAAAGTGATCCACTCTAGGATCTGTTCCTTTGGACACAGGGTAGTGCTGTTCCCTTGCCCACTCTCAGAGTGGAGTGACCCACTGTGTACTCATGTTTGCTACTTTCTTGAGAGAATTAAGTATTTTTCTTTATTATGTAATGCTTCCCAAGGAATTTCGAGGGCAATGCTACAGACATTCTTTCCTTCAATATTTTGCTGCCAAGGATGTGTGGGTAGAAGTGAGAATTCAGATCAACGGCT